AAGGTGAAAGTGAGCTCCACGACAAGACCGAAGTTCGCACAGTAACCTATGACATGGAGTCCTATTTGGAAATGACGGTCAAGAAGTACACCGATGTCACGGGAGTCACCCCGGATAAGTTGCGGAAGGTGGCCACTCCGAGCCTGCCTGAGGAGACGAAACATCATCCTTCACGGGCAGCCGCAACGCGGGGCCCTTCTCATCGATGTACATGGTGCGGACACACAATGCCCGTTGACGCAGATGGTCGGCTTATTCCGCCTCCCCCTATTCCTGAGGCGCCCAAGGAAGAGGAAGTCACGGACGCAAATCGCGGGGCGTTAGCTCCTCATGCTGCGAGCGTATTTATTGATGAAGCTACTCTATGCTGCGCGCATATGCCGCTTCGACCTGCTTCGATCCATCAATAATCTCGCTCGCAAGATCACTAAGTGGTCCGTCAAGGAGGATGCCGGGCTCCTCCACTTAATTAGCTATGTTCATCACACCAAACATCATAAGATGATTGGGTGGGTAGGCAACAGCCTCAAGGATCTTTCCATTGGGTTGTTTGCAGATGCTGATTATGCTGGTTGTGGTGAGAGTCTCCGGTCCACCTCAGGTGCACACATGCACATACAGGGCAGTCATACCCGTTTTCCCCTGGCCGGGATTAGTAAACGTCAAGGATGCGTCAGCCACTCTACTCCAGAGGCTGAGATCGTCGCTGCTGACTATGCTATGTCTCGGATAGGCCTACCGGCTATTACACTTTGGAAACTGTTGTCTGCGACAGATCCCAACTTTGTGTTCTACGACGACAATCAAACAATGATTGGCGTCGTGCGCACGGGTAAGAATCCAACCATGCGTCACCTCGAACGATCTCATGGCATTTGCATTGCGTGGATGCATGAGGTGTTCCAGGAGGGTTATGTTGGCCTGGCGTATGAGGTCACCGCGAAGATGGCGGCCAACATACACACGAAGGCGTTCAAAGATGGCATTTCATGGGCGCACGCGTGCCAGCTCATCAACATCTTCCCCCCTGAGCAGCTTAACACGGTTGACA